TGCGGCGGCAACAGCAACAGCAACAATAACAACTGCAGCAATAGCGCAACAATTGCCAACAACAACAACAATAATAATAGTAGCAACAGCAACAAGCTGCAGCAACACTGCAAGGCGAGCAATTGCAGCGGCTGTCAAATGTCAGCGGCTGCTGCCTCATTTCAATTGGCCAATTTATTAAATTCGAGCATGTTGCTGCCAACAGCAGCAGCTGCAGCGGCAGCAGCAGCAGTAGTAAGCAGTAAACCGATGCGCAGCAGCAGCAGCAGCAACAACAATAGCAACAACAGTCAGTTGAGAGTTGCAGCAGCAGGAGCAATAGGTGGAGTAGGAGTAGGAGTTGGAGCAGGAGCAGTTGTCGCTGCCGGCACTAGCAGCAGCAGCAGCAGCAGCAGCAACAATTTGAAGAAATCTTCGAGCGTGCAATTTCATTGTGAATTTTGTAATTTTAGCTGCAGCTGGCGCTACGATCTAAAGTTGCATTTGCGTCAGAAACATGGCATACATCAGCTAAAGAAATCATAGAAACGCTTCCATTGTTGATCAAACGTCACCCCTCCACACCCATATTGACCTTAAAACTTCCCCCCAACCATCCTCGAATTGTACATAAAAAGCGAAATGAAAATGTCCTTTAATGTTGTTAAACTGCTCTCTAGCTAAGCTAAAATACTGAAAAGAAGTTAAATATATGTGTACAACTATTTATTGAAACGAAACTTGGGTTTTTGTTGTTAATTCTTAAATATCTAATGTTAATGAAATCTATCCTTGAGAAAATCTACAAAATTTGCAGCAGCTCATTGTGGATAAATTAAATTTAAAAATTAAAAAAGACACCAAAACAATAAAAAAACATTAATTTAAATTTATATATATCCTATGTTTCATATTTCTTAACACAAATTTTATATTATAATTTTATTAAGTAAATTTTGTTAGATTTCTTTTTGTAAAAGTATTTCTTAGTTAAACGAAACAAAAATTATTTTTTCTAATGTTTAAGTAAATTAATTGCTTTTGTTTTGTTTGTAAAATTTGAATTTATTTTTGTATAAAAAGAACTTTGTATTTGTTTTAAAAATTTGTCGTAGCTCCAATTCGAAAAGTAGTTAACAAAAATTTGTATTGTATTGTTTGTTTAGAAAATTTGTCATTTATTTTGGTATTTATTTAGTTTTAGTTTTTAGTCAATTTCAACTTACAAAAACAGTTAAAAACGAAAATCGAAACAAACACACAAAATTTAAGTTTAGTTTAAGTTTAGTTTAATCATCCATCTACGGACAACAGAAACACACAACATAAAAGCAAATGCAATGAAAGAGTATCTACCATTTAAGGGATTTGCGTTTTATGATTTTTCACACAATATTTTTTATTTTTCTTTTCATTTTCATTTCATAAAACACAAACCAAAAACAAATCAAACTAAACTAAAAATATACGAAATACCCGAAACCAATTCACAAATCCATCACATCATAATCTACATGCAACACGATCAAATCAACACCACAAAAAAAAACTAAAAAAAAAAAAAATTACAAATTAAAAACTAAAAATTAATAACAACTAAAAACAAATGCACAAACAACAAACGAAACAACCACAGATCAGCACAACACACATTCAGCAAATCCATCGATCGATCAATCCGTCGATCATCATTCAGTTGGCCAGAGCATAGACTGCAAGTATGAATTTAATCACAGCGTCTTTGGCAGCGACGTGGACATCTCTGGCGGCGGCGGTGGCGGCGATCCACACGAGCGTTTCCCCTGCGCTGTCTGTGGCAAGAGTTACCTGCGCAAGCGTCACCTGCAGCGGCACATGCGCGACGAATGCATCGGCATACCGCCGCGCTTCAATTGTGAATTCTGCAGCTCTCGTTTCCGGCGTAAATATCATATGGTGCGGCATTTGGTCTCCAAGCATGGCATACCGCCGGCCATTGCACAGCAGACGACGGGCAGCGGCTCCAGGACGAGCAGTCCGCGCAGTGTCAACAATTTGGACATCAAACTGAGCGCCGCTGTGATGGCCAGTGTGGCTGGCATGGGCGGCGGTGCAGGTGGCGGTGCCGGTGGTGGTGGTGGTGGCGGTAGTGGTAGTGCTGGAATCGGTGGCGGAGTTGTGCACAGCGACAGCGCCAGCGTGGGCAGCGCTGGTTCGCACAATGGCTGCGAGAGTCCCATACCGGAGAATCTGTCGTTGCGCAAGGAGCACTACGAACGTGATGAGAACCTGAATGGAGGCGCCAGTGTGGGTGGTGGTGGCAATTCGCGTTGCACCAGCCCACTGCCGCCACACATGATGCCCATACCCACGTACGGGTTGACGGGCGCAATTACAGCTATTTCAGCAGCAGCTGCAGTTGTCGAGGAGCAGGCAGCAGCAGCTGCAGCAGCCGCCGCAGCAGCCGCAGCCGCAGCCGCAGCAGCAGCTGTCAATAACAATGGCGAGAAGGCAACGGCAACGGTTGGAGCCATTGATGAGTTGGCTGCTGCCGCTGAGCTGGGCATCAAGGCGGAGCCAGTGACACCAGGCAAGGCGCAGCCGCATCATCTGCTCGACGAGGAGTGGAACATGAAGCTCGGCCTGCAGATCATATCGAATTCATTGCTCAAGGAGCGATTGATGAATACCATGCCATTTGCATACAACAATAACTGAACGAGTTTTGTTTCATTTTCTCAATGCCTAAAAGTGTAAACCAAAGTATCTATATATTTTTGCTTAACAACGAAAAAGAAAACAAAAAACAAAACCAAAAAAAATATCTATTTATATTTATTATTACAACAAAGAGAAGATGAAGAAAAAGCCAAGTCTTATATATTCTACTTAAGTTTCGTAATTTTAATTTGTCTCTCATTTTTGTATGTTTAAACGAGTCACATATGATTAATATATTCCATGTATCGAATCTTGAATCTCAAAACTAGACATTCCAGCGCTTAAATTTTTAATTTTATGTAACTTTTATTTATATTTAAATTTTTTTAAAAAATGTTTAAAATTTTTTTATTTGCGTGCTTTCCTTAGTCAGCGAAACGTGTCTTAAAAAAGAAAAGAAAGAAAATAACTGTATTACAATGTTACTTTGCGGTACTACTTATCCTAAAACAACTAGATGAAGCAGAAGAAGAAGAATATCAACTATTTATGTCAAACTCAAAACCGTCACGAATTTCTATTGCCTAAGTCCCCAAACCAGAGATCCACACATTTTTGTTAGAATTTTAAGAAAATTTAAGAAATTTTTGTATAAGTGATGAAACGATGCCATTGTAATCAAAATTAGGTTTTTGATGAGCAACCCGAGGAGGAAGAAGAAATACTCAAAAGACAAGTGAGAAATGCGAAAATACTCAGCTAATTCCAAAAACAAGAAAACTCCAAAACTAAAAACTGCATTAAAGAATATTGTGTAGGTTTAATTTAAGCACTTATTCCAAAAAAAAAAAAAAAAAAACAAACAAAAATTGTATACCTAAATGTTTAAGTATAATTTTAGACGTGTATGTGAATTATTTAAATTAGTTTTAAAACAATATATATATTTAACTATATATATATTGGATCACAAAAAAACAAAAAACACAAACCTCAAAAACCAAACAAAAATTTATATTATTAATTGAATAAAACTAAAAACAAAAAAAGAAACAAAAACAAGAAAACATAATTTGTTGCTGGAAAAGTTTTTTTTTTTTTTTAAGCATTTATCTAAACTTTTTTTTTAGCTGGCCTTACGTGTGATCCACACCTGCGACTCTACACACCGCTCTCCCACCCAATTTATATCCCCAACAAATATTTTTTTTGGCTTATTTTGTTCGCTTTGTTTTTGTTGCGTAAGCGCATACAAATTTGTTGTACAGAGAATTTCACTAACCTATTTTTATTACTAAATTTCTTTTAGATAAACTCTTCTACTCTACCTACTACTACTACCTACTACTACTCGCGGTACTGTGGCTGTGCAGTTCTAGGAGTCTATCTATAACCCAGTGCCACCCAGTACTCCCCAACTATCAGTATCAGTCCAGTAACTGTATGCGTAACCACGTACAACATCACAATATCAAAAGTCTGTCACTTGCATATAGATATATTATACATATATACTATATATATATATGATCTATGCTGTCTGCGTCTATTTCTGGAAATTCTCTCTCTATATATATTTACGTATATATATATAAATGGGTTCTATTTGTTCTAGCTGCACATATCTATGATATTACACACACATACACCGACACACACACATACAGTTACAGATATATTTAATTATCTATCTATATAGCATGCATATAGCGCCTGTTTGTATGCTACATGAAATGCATATTGATAACTGTAATTCACAACTGGTTTATGTATGTGTGTGTGCGTGTGTGTGTGTGATATCTTATGCTTTTGTGTTTTGTCCTTGCGCTACTCACACAATAAAAATTTACTCTTTAATATATTTATCTATACATCTTTCTATATATAAATATCTCTATTGTATTTGTGTCTTTCAAAAATATTATAATAATAATAATAATAATAAATTATTTAACATTCGATGTTTTTTCTTATGCAGCCTCTCTTGACAGACGGCTGCCAGTTTCTGCTCAGAGCTGGCGCTGTTTGTGTTTTATTCTATGCTCTATATGTGGGTTTTCTTATCATATATATCTGTGGGCGTGCCTGATGTTATTTAGCTTATAAGACAAATGTGTGTTTTATCTTTCAATATTTTTTTATATTTATATATTTTATTATTTTACCCGTCAAATATTTTTAAGCTTTATGTGTCTTTTAGTTCTTTCTAATTACATGGAATGCCTATATGTATGTATATAAAAATTATTTATAATTTTATGCCTTAAGTTTTATGTTGACTTTCATGTAGTTTGACTTGCTCAAAAACAAAAACCAAAATCAGTTTTAGAATTCAGTCATCAGCCAAACTAAAGAACTAAAAAAAGAAGAATTATATATCATATCATATATCTATATCTCTAGTATTATATTTAACACCCAACAAATATCAACAACAAATCAAATTCATCAACAACATTTACACACACACACACACACACACACACATTCGCGCGCTTCACCGCTTCATTCACTCATTTGTGTTGTTGTGTGCTGTTCTCTCTCTCTCTCTTTCTCTTTCTCTCTTCCTTTACTCTGGCACACTCGCTTTCTCTGTCGCGTATTGTGTGTATGGGTCGAAAACAAAAAAACAAACGCATTTCTTACAGATTTCGTACTCACCTGGTATCAGCACGCGTGCGATCAGTGCGGCAAATCCTACAAGACACGCAAGAGCTTGAGTCGGCATCGTCGCTTCGAGTGCCGATTTACCACAGAGCGTCCGATCTTTCAGTGCCCCAGCTGCAACTATGCGGCCAAGCGCAGCGACAACCTAACCAAGCACATTAAAACCCATTTTGCCAAAATGAAAAAGGAATTCCTGCCGTTGGCATTTCAAATGCAAGCAGCCAGCATACAAACCAAATGGGAAACGGCATAAAAAAGGCTGGAAAACAAAACAGAAGCAGAGGAAGAACGGCTAAGCTTCGGCTGACCGAGGCTTGAAATACTCTTGCAGTTAGGCTGAGATACAACTTTGATATACCATAGTTCTTGTAAAGTTTTTTTTCAAGTTATAAAAAGGCTTCGTAAACTTTATAGAAGAATCCAAAATGATAGGACATATTCCAAGTAAAAGATTAAATTTTTCTTATATGATTTATAAGCATCGGTTATAGAGTTTTCTGGTAATATTTATGATCCCTAATCAGCTTCCATGTTAGCCGACTTCAATATATTACTAGAAGTCCGTGGGCTGAAACTCATTTAAATAGAATTCTAATCGAAGAGTGCCATAAATTTCAACTGTTGTCTGATTTTATGTATACATGTTCCACATAAAATTGAAATTTCACTGAATTTAGATGTGAAAACTCTTAGGAGATATATTCATTCAGGTGAGAGCTTAGTTGCTCTCTCTTCAGTTTCTTTCTAAAAGTTCTCAAGAGCTCATTTTATATCACTATATCATTTAAAGCTGTTGCTGTAGTAGAACTGAGTATCAGAATTTTAACCTGCTGCAAGAGTATTCCAAAGAAATAGATCTTTATTTGATCTCTTTAAGTTGTCAACTATATATTTTTAAGAACCGGGCAGCGCAACGCACAAATTGTTTCTATCTAACAAAAATAATCGCACTTGATAACAACATTTGCTATCCTCTCTCTCTCTCAGTCTCTCTGGCTCCCCTTTTAAGTATATTTGTTTAGCGTATTTTTGCATATTTAAACTTTCACTTTGTGGTGTCAGATTTGCATGCCAAAAAGGTCGCTTCAACCACATTTTACATAAATTTTTATAATTTATGTAAACTTTATGCGACAAAAATAAGAAAAAAAACAACAATGTTTATTTGAATTAGTTTCCATTGTGCAGTAAAGTTTTGTGCGTTGTAAAGTCCCAAAAGCCAAAAATTGAAACTTTAACTTTGATCTTAACGTTAGTTTTAAGTTGAAAAAAAAAAAAAAAATGAAAAACAAAAAATTATTTAAAAATTTAAGTTTAATTTAAATCGATATATATTTTATTAGCATTTTAAGCCAAAAGTTCAAAGATAAATGTAACCGAAACTAAGTCAAAACTAAAAAGCAAAAAGTTATAAATATTTTACTAGACTACTGAGAGTAGTGACAGGTTTTTAAACAATAGGAGAAGTGAGGGTTGCTCCTAAGAGGCAATTTCGTAACGTCGCATTCCTAAGCAACAAAAAAAAAAGAAAAAATTATTTTTAAAGCCCAAATCAAGTCATGTTTCATAAACGTAGTTAAGCAAAGGCAACGCCAAACGAAAAAAATTTAAAAGTATTATACTAAAAAAAAAAAAAAAAGAAAAAGAAAATATTTATATATATATTATACATAGCTTAGTTGGAGAGCTGTAAAATGTAAGTTCCTTGCTAGCATAGAAATACTTTTATAAATATATACATATATTTTTTATGATCATATAACTATCAAAAAGCAAAACGAAAACTAAAACAAAGCGATCTCAGAAACAAATATACAAATGAATGCAACCAACAGTACAATTTATAGAAACCGACAACAATTACTAACAGCAAATAGTTCAAATATATATAAATGTATTTACAAGAAAAGATAATCAGCCAAAGAAAAAAACAAAAACCCTAGCCTAGCACATAGAGCTGGCCAAGTTAAAGCTGGCAAATAAATCTATGATATAAGTTTTTGGTATGCCAACTGAAACTTGTGTGATCCACTTATTGCTCAGTTTGTGTACTTGGTCAATAGAAACCGTTATTCAATCACGCTTAGTTTAACTATTTTATGCCATACAGTTTTCAGTTGTAAGGGGAAGATCTTTGTAAAAATGGAATGTTTCGAGTGATGTACATGTACCAAATGATATGAAAATACTTTAAAATATTGTAACTGCTAAAATTATGTTTTAAATGATGTTTAAATGATTTGCAGGTCTCCTATATAATGAGAGCAAGTTTTGAATGTCTCCATTTCATTTCACATTCATTTCATATATTCATATCAAACATATTCATTACAAATATTAACTTCTAAAATGTCCAATTGAATTACTTTTTACACACACACACACACTTACACAACAACATTTGTATTTTTATATTAACTTTATGCTATTACGAAAAACCAAATCAACTATTTTTATACACATTGTCAAAGAGCATAATTAAGATATTTTTTATATATATATATAACCTATATATACATATATATATATAAATATTGCTATTTTTGTATGTAACTGAATAAATTTAAAAAGAAACTGTTTAAACTGTTATTTACTATACAAAGTAATATTTTTATTAAATTAATTTTTAAAGTTAAAAATTAAGTGGGTTGCATTTGTGTTTTAAGTTTGATTATATAAATTATTCTTAAATTAGTTAATTTTTAATATATAATTTATATTTCATTTAATAATTTTGTTAAAATAATTATGTTTTTCAAAATTATTTATTATTAAAATAGTTTATTATTTAAATAATAAAATTATTTATTTTATAAAAATTATTTAAATTATTTAAGACGATATTTTATAAGTATTTTTTTTAGGATTTGTTTAGAAATTAATATATGTTAATTTTTTTAAATTTAGTAATTTTTTTTTATTATTTAGCTAATTTTTTTATTTATTTTTTAATATTTATTTATTTTTTTTAATATTTATTTATTTATTTTTTATTATTTATATATTTTTTGTTTCTTATCTTAAAATTATTATTTTTTGCCAACTACTAAACCTGTTTCATTGCAGCTGCCATAAAAAAAAAACAAACAAGAAAAAAATTTTAAAAAAGTTCAGAATTATGCATCATCATTCACTCAGCGCCTCATTTCAAGTATCGCAAGTTATCGCCTCCTCTATATACATATATATCCGACATGTATATGTATATATAGATAGATTGTAATCAAGCTGCCTAAATCATCAACCACTGCAACTGCTCTCTCTGCATCAGCTTCATCAAAAAAAAAAAAAAAAAAAAAAAAAAACCAACAATCAATCAATCAGCCAACAAGCAAAATGAACACACAAAACTGTTGCATACTACACACTAACTGTAAATATCACATTTTTCTTATTATTCTTATAATTAATAATATTAATAATATAACTATAATTTTTTTTTTTTTTTTTTAATTTTCAACACTTTTAACTGCAAAAATACAAAAAAGAAGGAAAGGAAATTGCTCTAAAATTTTAACTTGAAAAAGAAAATACAAAATCTTGTTACTTTTTTTTTTTTTTTTTTTATTTAAAAAGTATAAAACAAATAAATATATATATATGTCTTTTGTCTAGCTGTTTAAGCTTAAGAGGAATTTCTAAATTTTGTTCAAATTTTTTTTGCTATATTTTTTTTTGTATGAATTTTGTTTCTTGTGTCTTAAAAATATTAAAAATGTTTGCATTTTATATATTATTGTAGCGCCCAGCAGCTACGCCTCCAACTCCAGCCAAACACCGCCTCCAACTGGCTCGACGGCCCAATCACTGATCCGTGACTATTGGTACGAGCTAAAGTTTTCGGATTTATTCAAATTCATAAATCCCGATGGACGCTATCAGTGCCCCAGATTTAATTGCCTGAAGAGCTACAAGGATGCCAGCTCATTGCAACGACATATCAGGTGAGTTTATAATAAATTGTATATGAAATTCTATACGTATGTAGATAAATACGTCTGTCTAGTCGTCTGTCTGTTGTGTTCAGTTTAAACTAAAATATATCTATGTATACAAAATCTTTCTCTATAGATATGAATGTGGTGGACAGAAAAAATTTCGCTGTCTGATGTGCGGCAAAGCATTTTCACAAAGCTCCCACCTAAAGAGGCACCTTGAGTCCGGTGTCTGTGTCAAATATTACTTATGAGATAATGTTTTCTTTAAAATCAAATAGAATAAGCGTTATCCGCATAGGCAAAGTGCAACATTTTGTTGAACAAAACCAAACAAAAACAAAAAACCGGAAAATTTAAACAGCAAAAAAAAAAAAAGAAGTAAAAATAATAATTATAATAACTTACAAAAATTGTAACTACCAAAAACAACAAAGCAACAGAAACAACAACAATAACAAACAACAATAACACACTCACACACTCAAAATAACAAGAAACAGTCGAAGAAAGCAATTAAATATATATATACATACATACATATACCACATATATATATATATATATAGAGAGAACAAGTAGCTAAACCAAGAACAATTACAAATAACAACAACAAAACGAATTTATTGGATGCCACATCATTTATAAAGAAAAAACAAAAAACAAAAAAGGAAAAAATGTTAAGCCCATATACATGAATAGATATATATGTATATATATATATATATCGATTATATACAAATTACATATTATGATATATATATGTATGTAATATGAACAAGAACAAGTTGAGAATTATTATTGTTGACAACTGAGCATTAAAACCCAGAATTAGTTAAAATTAACAAAAATTAAAAAGTAACAGAAGTAAAAAAAGAAAAACAAACAAAGCGTAGCTATTATAAAATATTTAAATGAAAAAATGCTAGACAAGAAATATATATATATACATACATATATACATATGTATAGATGCAGTCAGTGCAACATTTTATAGAATTTTAGTAAAATTGAAGAAAAAAAAACGAAAAAATTCGTAAAAAATTACGAACAAAAAAAATATATATAATGAAGAAGAAGCAGAGCTAGCTAAAAGAAATTGTATTGAGAGGCCGTAACAAAGCACACACACGATTTATAGAAGAACAGGAAAGAAGGAATAGAAAGAGGATGTAGCCGAAGAAGAAGAGACGCAAGGAAGCTAAGAGCAACAACATTTTAGTCAAACTAACCAAAACTACGTAATTTTAGTCGAAAGTGCAAAGAGAAAACAAAACAAAAAAATGAAGAAAAAAAAAAGAAATAGTGAAATTAACAAAGAAAGTAAATAATATAAAATAATAATAATAACAGTAAACCTATAGAAACAATTGCATTATATATATACATACAGAAAAAATAATGAGGAACACTGAAAGCGAAAATACATATAACAAAAACGTACTGTGTTTATTTGTTGCCAAATATATATCGATATATATTTATAATATGTTATTGAATCAAAAAACCAAGCAGTGTAAAACAAACAATTATATAAACAACAAATTATAATTAATTGCATATTTGAAAGAAGCTAAAAGCCAACAACAAGAACAACTAAGCCGAGAACTAAATCAATTACAAACAAACAAAACAAAATAAAAACATATATATGTATGTTATGTTATATACGTTTATCGTTATATATATATATTGTTATAGACACATATATATACATATATATGTGTATATATATGTTATATGCACTCACACATGCGTATTGTATATGTTAAAAGAACAAAATGTGAATGTTTGTTATAAAACAAAGTAAAAAAGTAACAGAAGCTTATTCGGCTAGCCGAACTAAAAAATACCCTTGCAAATGATATAAATGTATAATCTATCGATATCAAACTGAGGCAGCTATAGTTCCATATCCGTAACTATCCGTTTTTATCCAACTCAATAATTACAAAGCCAAAAGACTCTCATGCTTAGTTAATACCACTCATCCCAATAGCTGCAAGGGTATATCAAAATGTTGTGTTGAATTATATATTATATATATATATATATATGTTGCAGCTAGTTAAAATGAGATATTTTGTTTTTAGTTAGTTTATATATAACTAAAGTTGCATAGAGGCCAAACGATTTGTTGGTTCACAGAACAGTTTATATGCACACACATACACACACATATTTCAAGAAGAAATTAAACACATCTATTAAAAAGAAAATGCTATGTTAGCAAATTTGTTGTCTGTTGTTGCAAAAGAAAAATGTTATTACAAAAATTGTTTTTGTAACTTATGTTTTAGGAGTGTGTGGAAGTGTGTATGTGTGTGTGGCAGCATTGGATTTGTGTGCAGAACATGTGTGCCATTATACAACTGGAAAACTCCAAACAAAAAGAGATCTAGAAAGCAGATATACATATATATATAGAGAGAAATTTCACTCAGTCGTAACCAAATGAAATTAGAATTCAATGCTGCCCCCAGTTGAGAAATAGAAGCGAGATGAGATCAAACATATATACATATACATATACTCATGAACATTATATATATGTGTATGTGCATAACTATACATATATATTTTTGTCAAAAACCCGCCTCCCCCTCCAACACATAGAACTCTTTAGTTTTATTGGTCTATTTTGTTAAAATTTTAGTACAATCTAAAATAAAAAATAAAAAAACTAAATTGTATTTAACAAGTACAATAAAATTAAAATAATTAAGAAATAACATATACCGAACATAGGTAAAAAAAATGCAGTCTATGGATGATGAAGAAATATATATATATATATACATATATAAAACATATAACAAGTAAATGAAAACGCTAAGAGTGCCATTAAAACAATTTAAATGTAATAAATTATTGAAATTATACATATTAATATACATATATGATAATTGAAAAGATAAATATATACATGTATAACAAAACTTACTAAGGCAGGCAGTTAAAGTGCAACTAAAAACACTTATATATATATATATATATATATATATATATATATATATATGTATACATTATTCATATATATATGTATTAGTTAGGTCCAAGCATTAATACATAACTAATTTGATTTCATTATTAATTTTTTAAAATATTTGTTTAATAGTTGGCTTGTTATAACTCTGTTGTAGTCAGATATTAAACAAAACAAAAAGAAAAGAAAATATTTATGGCTGATGTTGAATTGGCCGCGAGAAGCATGAAAGAAGCGAAAATAAAGCGTGCCATAAGCAAAAAGGAGAAGTTAAATTAGGATTAATGAAAGCAGTGAGAGAGAAGCGCAGCAGTAAGTTAATTAACTTTATCAAGTGCCACAATGCTGCAGCAGTTACAGAAAATTGGAAAATAGAAGCAAAGCAAGAAGTTTCATTGACGCTTCTCGCGGCTGCGACATCAGCCAGTCCCAGCAATAGAAATAACAAGAAAAATAGTAAAAGCTCGAATTGAAACTAGACAAGTTAATACTTAGTTAATGCAAATACTAAACAATATACTAAGCATGCATATATATACAGAAATACTAAAACAAAATACAAATACCAATGCAAATTTTCATAAACTTTATTGTCAATTTGTTTTTTTGATTTCATTTAAAATTAGCCCAATGAAAAAATTCTTTATTTCTTTTATTGTCAATTTGCAATTTGTCTTGTGTGCCAACAGAAAATTCGTGTCAATTGCAAATGTACCAAAAAAAAAAACACTAAATTAAAAAAACTAAAAACAAAATCTAATCAAAACAAAATACAATTTAAAACAAGACAAATTGTCAACAAAAAAAAAATTGAATAAATAGTTGAAATTTTATATGAAAATATATATATTTATATTTATCTTATACTAAACTAATTTGTTAAACTAATTAACTAAGGTTTTTGTTGCACGTTCATTGATTTAGCTAAATTATTACTATTAATTTTTTGTTTTGTTGCGCTGTTAAAGCTTAGACTAATTGATGAAGTAAGAAACAACAGCAAAAATAAGAAACATTAAATGTTTTTTGTTTTTCATTCACATTTTTTGTTGCATCGTTTTTAATATATAAAGATATAGACACAACACACACATATAAATACTGAAACAAAATTTATATAGTTGTCTTTGATTTTTTGTTCATTAATTTAACAACTAAGTTTTAACTTGTTAATTGTTAATTAATATTTATAAAATAGTCTAAAAACCATAAAATAAAAATGTTAGCCCAAAAGCATAAGTTACAAAATAATGAACAAAATATACTCCAAAGAAACCAACCAAAAAATATATATACAACAACACATACATATATATACATACATATATACAAGGACATATACATAAAGAAAACAAAAAGTAAATTTATAAAATAAATGAACAAACCCCCAGAACAAGTTTTAGTAAAAGTGTATTTGGAACAAAATTGCCATATAATGAATAATATATATATGTATATTATATATATATATATATATCGAAAAATATATAGTCAAACCAAAAGAGCAGATATATAAAAACAATAACGGAACAACAAACATATATATATAATATATATATATATATATATATATATATATAATTGTAACAAAACGAATGTTGTTTATTTTTTGTAGCGTAATATTAAACAGAAAAAAGAAACAGAAAAGCGTAAAGAAATTAAAAAGTGTTTATATAAATATATATACATATATTTATTGTTAACGTAAACCACGGAAAAGGCGAAACAAAAAAAAAATTATGAAACAAATTTATATTAAAAGCGAAAAACTTACATTGACGAAGCTGATATTGTTAGTACCTTAAATAAAAAATAAAAATGAAAAACAACAGAAAAAAAAATGAATTAATATTATTAATAATTGTAATAATAACAACAAAGTAGCATTAAAGTAAAAATTAATAATAGTAAACTCAAAAATGAAGAGATATGTAAACAACATTTGAGATTCTGTTTTTATTTGATTTTTTTAGACAATTTGTGAAAGAAACCAAAAAATTGAAAAACAAAAACATTGTTATTTTTGCAAAAACTGAAGAACAAAGAAAAGGCATTATATATGCATTGTTTATATACACAACATGTTTGAATTTAATGCATGAAGGTAACAAGAAAAAAAAAAAACAAACATAAAAGAAAAAAAAAAAACACAAAATGAAAAAACATAATAAAGATTGATATTGAAATGTTGAAACCCCAAAAAAAAGAAACAAAAAAAACTGTTTATTTATTTGCTAATGGGGGGTTAACATGGAGGAGCTATAAAAATGTTAAATAAAATTTCTAATATGTTCTTTTATTTTTACAGATGTTAACAAACTGTGCAGCTGCTGTCAAGTGTGTGCGTGTGTGTGTGTGCTTGGATTAAGTTATTGTTATTTAATTGCAATTATTATTTAAGTTCAAAGTCAGGTCAATTGTTGAGCTAAGCAATTGCTACCGTTATATGCATAGTAGACGGTACTACCTGCAGCTATGTTAAGTTCGAACTGAAATTTTTCTTTAACATAGTTGTGCATTTAACAGCTGTTAATGCAATTTCTTTAAGTGTATACTTTAAGCTGAGCTTTGGAAGGCGGGTAAGAGTATTAATATTAATTTCATATTTATTATTATTATTATTTGTTTGGTATATCTAAAGCTTAGCTTAGATTAGATTTTAGCTCTATTTTTTGAGTAATTTATTATATATTTTTTTTATTAATTTTATATATATATATGTATTTTGTGTGTATGTATGTTTTACTTTGTTAGCTTTACAGTAATGGTGGCCACCAAACCAAAAAAAGAATATATAATAGCTCTGCTCTATCGCCTCTGCCAAGTGGTTGCCCGGTAGTACGCTATATGCATCAACATATATTTATAAATATGTATTTTTCTTTCCTATTGCCTTATTTAGCTAAAACTCTCTCATATCATCAATTTCATGTCTCTATCCAATGTATTTTGGTTTTCCTTTTATAATTTGTTTGATAATATTGCAAATCTTTGTCAACTCTCTTTTAACCTATTCTCTCTCTGTGTTATCCTGTTGTAGAGAACACCTGCTGGACGCTGTCTGTGAAATCGGTGACATCGCTCAACAACATTGCCACAACGCTGCAGCTGGCTGCCGCCGAGTCGCCGCAGCTGGCCAGCTCGCAGCACATTTGTCCGCGCTGCGAGAAGGCCTATACGTATAAGAAGAATCTGTGGCGCCACCTGCGCTTCGAGTGCGGCCGTCTGCCAACGGAGAAGTGTCAGCATTGCCACTATGTGGCACGCTATAAGCACAGCCTGAATATGCACATGAAGACACAGCATCCGGACCAAGCAGCGGCTGGCGTGGCACGTGGACTCTTCGAGACCAAGAGTAGGACGCGTGGCAAGTTGGCTTAAAAATAGAAACACTCTGTGATATGATCTCAGTTATATAACTGAAATATAATTATATATTTTTGTGTATATGTGTGGGTGTTAGCAGCAGGTAAGTTCAAGTCAACGTCGCAAACATTGTGTATAAAAAAAAAATATCAATTACATAATAAAAAATTGACATAAATATTTTTTGAAAATTGTTAATAAAAACTGAGTTTTTGCAACAAAATTGAAATGTGTCATTATTGAATTTTCTTAGAACCTAAGCTGAGTTTTACATAATATTTAATTAGGGGCACGGATTTTTAATTATAAAAACATAATCTGAAAGTTTTTGTTCTGTTGTTTCGTTTTGTTTCTGTTTATGGCTTTGGTGTTTTTATATATATATATATTCTTTTTGTACACATACAGCAGCACACAAAGTGTTTATATATATATATTATAAATTTATAAATATATAATATTATAAATATTAATTTATGCGGCGATCATTTGTTTGCTTGTTTTTATCAAGTTGTGTGAAGAGGAAATTATTGCAGACAGGACACGTTTATGAGCTGAGCAAGAAAGAAACAATATGAAAAGAGAAAGAGAATGTATATATATCTATATATGTGTGTGTGAAGCAGCGGTAAAAAATAAAATAAATGTATAAGAAATAAAATTATATCTAATAATGTAATTGTATTGTTTTGTCGTCACGCCCTCAACTCCCGCCCTTGGCCCCGTTTCTTTCGAATTGTTCGTTTCAGATGCCAAGCAGGACAAAGGCGAACAAACGGAAGGCGCCCACGATGAGTTCGAACTGGACGATTGCCTGCTGGAGAGCAACGATATTGTCATCACCCAGAACAAGGATGGCTTTGTGCTGCATGTCAAGAAGCTGGGCAACATTACGACGGCCAAGATGGGCAGCACTGCGGAAGAGCAAACAGCAGCGGTTACCGTGACAGGACCCGCCGGCCAGCCAACCCAAACGATCACCGAACTGCTCAGCCAAGCGGCCCACAGCGCCGATATTAAACCCACCCTGACCACATTGACGAATACGCCCATCAAATTGCCCTCTTCTGAATGTGGTGAGTTTTTGACATTTCTCTCTAAGCTTACTAAGTATATACTTATAAGAATCACATAAATATTCAATAATAGGTTATATATATATTATATACATTATATATAATTAAAGATCTAATGCGACATGAAAATGTGACTTGAAATCAATAAACCAATACATCGATCTATTACCGATAGTTCAGTAGTCTGTCCGCTTGCCAATTACTCTTCTCACAGAGCATTTAAGCTCTCTAGCTCTCTACTCAGCTATAAATTGCATACATAAAACGACCTCTGAACGAGGCTCTCGCTCGGCTCCGAGTGTTGAGTGGCTGCGACTGCTATATAAAGGCGAGCTAGTTGAAGACTTTGCTCAGTCTCCTGACTGACTTTGCGGGGATCAGTTGGATGGAGCAGTGAAGCGGGGGAGCAGCGGGCAATTAGCTAAATATATTTTATATTTGTATGGGAAATATTATTAGTTTAAATAATAATAAATTGTGTTAGGCTAATGATTATTAGATAATGATTATCAGATAATGATGCTCACTAGTATACTGATTATTATGATGATATACTAATGCAATGACTGTAAATTTTCAATGTAAAGTTACACGATATCGTCATCATCATCATTTGCATCATTATTATTATAATAGTGATGACATTTTCGCATTATTTCTTATATTGAATATTTAAGAGATTCATGATGAACATCATCCTTATTCTTATGCTCATATTTATTTTTATTCTAATACTTATACTCACACTCACACTCACACTCACACTCACACTTATACTCATACTCACACTTATACTCATACTCACACTCATACACACACTCACACTTATACTCATGCTCATACTCATTCTCATACTCATTCTCATTGCTATACTGATACTAATACTTATAAAGTTAGCATTAATACTAATAAAAAAAATCCCTTTCTCACTTACAGAACTAATCAACATTAAGAAAATCATACCCAGCTCAACGACACTTGCCCCGCATGGTGGCAGCAGCAGTGGTGGCACCGCCACTACCACCATAATACATCCGCATCACATTATTCAGCATGTGACACAGGAGACACAACAGCAGCATCAGCAACAACAACAGCATCAGCAGCAGCAGCAACAACAACATCAACAGCAGCAGCAGCATCATCACCAACAGCAGCAGCAACAACAACAACAGTTGCACATTGAGGAGGTGCCACAAAGCTCGCATCATCATCAGCAGCAGCAACAACAACAGCAGCAGCAGCAGCAACAACAACAACAGCACCATCATCAACAACAGCTGCACCAGGGTGCTCAGCAAGTACAAAGCATCATTACAGCCCATCCGGGACAGACGATCAATTTGGTGGGTCTGCGCAATGTGCAAATAGCCGAACAGAAGCCAAACATTACATCGCGCATACGTTACTCGCGTGGCAAAATAATAGCGCCGAGCGTTAGCAATTTGCAGATTGTGGAGACACATGAGGCCATACCGCATCAGCATCATGAGCTGGCAGATGGCACCAAGTATGAGATTAGCGAAATCGATCTGAACAATCCAAATGCATCGGCGGCCATCATTAGCGATTTGGTCAAGTATGCCGAGATCGATGACATCGAACTGCCGGATGGCACCAAAATTGGCATTGGCTTTGCACCCTCCGAGATCACCGAGCATATGCAGACGTCAGCGGGCGAGACGCATATTACCACCATTGAGCATGAGCCGCAGGAGCTGCAGGTGCATCAGCATGATCCACAGCAACAGACACATCACATACACGCCTCGCAGCTGCAAGCGCATCACATACATCAGGCGACAGTGGTGCAGCAACAGCAGCAGGAGGAGGATCATCATCAGCAGCAGCAGGAGCATCAGCATCATCACATCCAGCTGCAGGCGGACGATGATGATGGTGTTGAGACCATAATACCCGAAGAGCTAGGCGTGCATGATTCGAGCAAGAGCTATACCATTCTAACCACACGACCAATGAAAGAGGAATCGGATGCTGGCGGTGATCCCAGTAGCATGACCTACGAATTATCGCTGAGCGACTCATCGCTAGGTCCCTGCGATGATCCCGAATCGCGTTATGTCTGTCGTCACTGTGGCAAAAAGTATCGCTGGAAGTCAACGTTGCGTCGCCACGAGAATGTCGAGTGCGGCGGCAAGGAGCCGTGTCATCCATGTCCCTACTGTACCTACAAGGCTAAACAGCGTGGCAATCTGGGCGTACATGTGCGCAAACATCATCCCGAGAAGCCACAGCTGGAGAGCAAGCGAGGACGCAAGATCTAAGCAGCAGCAGTAGGGGGAGGAGGAGTAGAGAAGGTACACGATGCAGAGGAGGAGGAGGAGGAGCCGCAGCAGTGAGTACCACACAAAGAATAGCAGCAACAAAAAACCAGTTTACATTATTCTCCCACATCTAAACTATTATATATATTCACACATATACATATATATTATGTATTTCTTATTTTTCTCGAGCATCAATTTTGATAATTGATGCAATTGCGTTTATTTGTTGATTATTTGCTTAAGTTTAAAGGTAAAGTTAAAAAGCCACTACCAGAATATTTCAAAAATAACTAAAAATTCAGCAAACTATTTTCAAAACAATATTTTATTATAATTTTATTGGGCTTTAATTGACGTCTTTGCGTATAATTTTCATATTGTTTGACGTAATTTTAAAAATTACATTTATTAAGTGTTGCAAAAACAAAAAATCTTTAAGTGAAAAAGTTCGAAAAATTAATACAAAAATCTACCAGAAATCATGTGCAAGTATTTTCATGGAAATAACACAAAGAATTATTGTTTAATTAAATGAAAAAAAAATTCAAAGCAAATATTATAAAAAAGTTACAAAAAAAATTTAGTTTAGAATTGTGTAGGTTAAATTTTAAATACATTTCAAATATACATTTAACGCATAACATCTAAATGTCTTCGCAGAAAGTACAGTACCTAGCAAATCTATAAATATGTGTAAAAAATAAAAACAGAAACCCATTTTTTCAATGCGAAATTTTTAAGTATTTAAGAAAAATGCAAACAAAAAATAAAACAATGTTAAAGTGCACAGTGTGTAATATTTTTTTTTTTACATAAAATTTCACAAATTTTAATATAATACTTTGCAAAAATTACACAAAAAATATGATTACGAAAACTGTCTGAATTGGAGGCTTATTACGTTCATATAGTTGTCACATGTTGTTTTACAGCTCACAAAACAAAAAGGAAAAAAATATATATATAAAATATTAAATAACAAATATGTAGTGAAAAATATTTTACATTAATATGACGAAAAACAAATCTTTACAAATATTGTGTGTAATATTGTTGCTGCAATTGAAGCAACCAAATGTGGAAAACTAAAAAAAAAGAAAAAATTATTATATTAAAAATTTAAATTGAAAAACTTAGTAAAATTGATGTATATGACAAACTTAAGCCACAAAACAGTTTTTATGAGTATATATACATATACATAAATTTATATTTTGGCAAAACAAAAAATAAATTCAATATTAATTCAAATATTTTACATAATTTACAAAAAAAAAAAAAAAAAAAAATTTAAAAAAAAATTGTATGTACAACATTTTAATTCATTGCTAAACATTTATTATGTATACATATAAAAAGTATATATAGAAATTATATATTTTGAATTTAGTTGTATAAATAAAAGTAAAATAAAAAATTAAAAAAAAAAACCCCAGCTCGTTAATTTATTGAAAAGAAAATAAAAAATTAAAAAATGATAAAAAATTAATGTAAACTGAACATTACTAATATATTTCTCTTTTTGCAGGTAGACGAAGCCAGCAGCGAGCCGAATTTATTTATTCATATTTTTTTTTACCCTCTTATTTATGAAATTCAATTAATATATTTCTCTTTTTTGTAGGTAAGCGTGGATAAGCGTATGGAATAAATGGCCAAATGGGATGCAACTACTAATTGTAATACTATTTCCATCTTGCCTAATTCAAATGCGATGAACTTTTGCGCACCCGTTGCAAGCTCTATATAAGTACCTAAATCTTAAGTAATTGTTTTCTGTATATGCCACTAAAAAACACAAAAATAATAATAACCAGCAATTGCCAAACCTTTTACTCCCCGCCCGCCCGTTAGTGTGTGTGTATGCGCGTGCGTGCGTGAGTTTGTTGTGTTCCCAGCTGCTACACTTTAAAACACCTAAAAAAAAAAAAACAAACAAAAACAAACAACCAAATCAGGAATGCCCAAAGTTTTATTAAATTTGGTAAAACACAAAACCTTTGCAGATGTTATATATAAATATATATAGATATTTATATAAGAGTCCGTCTGTCTTTGAATATCTTAGCTCTGTTAAAAATAAAAAATAAAATAAAAAAAAAAGTAAACGCGAAATAAATAGTATAAATATATTTTTCATAAGATTCAGTTCTGTAGCTTATTACTTATAGTATATCATGATTTTAGCCCCGATTTATAAAGAGAAATATATATTCTTTAAGATAATATGTAAAATATTTTCATGTCAGAAGTCTTGTTGATATATAAGAAAATTCATAGATATAATTGACTGATTATTTTGATAAACTCAAAGGAAATTATTTTTTTTCTTTAAATTAAAGCTAGTTTAGTTTTTTTTTTTTAATATAATTTCTTATAATATTTTGGTTATTTTTTTGTTTTTATAATGATTTTTTAACGTCTTTGCAAAGGTTTTATAGTGTTAGCGGCTTGCCGCGCTTCGTTTTAATTTATAATTTTTTTTTAATTTTTAAAATTTTAATAATAAATATACACCCTGCACTAATTGGCTCTCAATGACAGCGTTTTTTTTTTAAGTTTACCTTGTTTTATATGCACACACATACATATACACCTATGTATGTATGTATTTATTATTATTATTATTATTGTTTTTTTTTTTTTTTTGTATATATATATATATTTATATATATTGCTGTGTATTTATACCATAATTTTTAATGCTTTTAATTAAATTTCTAGGCTTTTGCTGCTTCACTAATCTATATCATATTTATTTTATTCTAAATGCTTAAATGTTTGTGTACTCATTTTTAATCGTTAACTACTATTTTTCGATCAGTTATCTCTCATGCATCAACATTTTGTTTTATCTTTTTTCATTTAGTTTTTCTTATTACGTTTCATATTAATTTTTTTTTTTGTGTTCTTGTTGTTGGCGTTGGTTTAACCGAACCGTCCCTCCCCTATACACACACATATATATCTCTATATATATCCGTCCCCTGTTTATTGTTAATGCTAAGTTTTTGTTACGAGTTTTTCTATGCATATTTATTTATTAAATTATTTACTTGTTCGGTTAATTTAACTTTTGCGTTGCATTGTGTCCAGTCTCAAAAGTAATGCTATTGATTTTCGTTCTTCTTTTCTTTTGTTTTTTTTTTCTTTCTTCTTTTCTTGTTTTATTTTCATATGTTGTATGGCTGACCAAATCTTCTCGACACACACAATAAATCCAACAACAACAACCACATCTACAACAACATATATGTGCACCCTCCTACAACAAATACGACCAATATTAAAACACAAATCACAAAATAAATGTAATATATAAAAAATAATACAAATAAATCAGATCTGAGTATTACGCGCATTGCGGGTCTCACCTGGAATGAATGGAACGCGCGCTTGGCAATGCCGCTGGTAACGCTTCGCGAAGGCGTCCAGCCCTTGGTGTTTCCCACCGATTTGTCGGTGGACAAGCAGTTGAATATGACTGGCATCAAGGCCGCCGCTGCGGATGCCATTGAACGGAAAACGCCAACAGATTGCATACGGCTAAAGATCGAGCCGGGCACAACGTCTACGCCGTGCAACACGAGCGAAAAACAGCATAAGATCTATCCTGGCGGTGGCAAGCTGAAGCACTTGTCCGAGGAGGAGGCCACGTCGCTGATGCTGAAAGCCGTAGCCGAGAAACAGGCAGTCGCTGCCGCGGCAGCAGCAGCCGCAGCTGCGGCGGCGGCAGCGGGCAATAGCAGCGCGGATCTGAGCTATGGGGAGGAGAATCTAAGCACTGGCGGCGGCAGCGTCAGCGGTGGCAATGGCAACAACAGCAACAGTGATTATCCCATAACGCTGACTGGCGCTGTTTCGCTGGCCGATGTGGGCCCGGCCGGTCTCTGCCATATCAATATATTGAATAGCATCAGCGCCATGAATAATCTCATTAGCGGAAGCACAGCTGGATCTGGTAGCGGTGGATCGGCTGGGGGCGGTAGCGTTACATTGAGCGCCGCAGCTGGCGGCGGCAACAGCAGCAGCAGCAGCAACAACAACAATAACAATAATGGCAACAACAGCAACATGGCTGGCGCTGACAACGGTGCTGGACACCCATGTCCCGTCTGTGGACGCGTTTACAAGCTGAAGTCGTCGCTGCGCAATCATCAGAAATGGGAATGCGGCAAGGAGCCGCAATTCCAGTGCCCCTTCTGTGTCTATCGGGCCAAGCAAAAGATGCACATCGGCCGTCACATGGAGCGCATGCACAAGGAGAAATTCAAGCTGGAGGATGACAAGAGTTTCATCAGCGGCATCATCGGTGCCGGCACTGGTGGTGCGAGCGGTGCCAACGCCCTGGAGACGGACTCCGCTGCTGGCAGCGCCGCGGCAGCAGTGGCAGCAGCAGCTGCGGCAGCGGCTCTGGCCAATGCGCCAGAACTTCATACGCATTTCACATGAGTGGAAAATGGAAATCGGATTCGTGTATAAATTGTTTTAAATGGAAAAACTAAATATCAGGGATAACAAGCGGATGAGAAAGCAAGCAAGGATTAATGAAATTACGCTAAAAAAAAAACAAAAACAAAAAACAATAACTACATCAACACACACCTAGCTCTCGGGGTTTCTTATACGGAATACGGAATCAGTGTGCCAAATTAATATTAAAAAAAAAAAAAAAAAAAAATTGGAAGCCTAACCAAGCAAAATTAATAATTGATAAGAAAAACTGGAAAACTAAAACTTTCCAAAAAAAAAAAAAAAAAAAAAAAAAAAAAAAAAAAAAAAAAAAAAAATTGGAACCCAAACCAAAAAAAATAAAAATTTGAAAAAAAAAAATAAAAAACAAAAAATTGCAAAAAAAAAAAAAAAAAAAAATTCCAAAAAAAAAAAAAAAAAAAAAAAAAAAAAAAACAAACAAAAACAATTTGTTGCAAAGCACAAACAAAACCAATTGAGCCATTTTTTTGCATAAACATTTTTTTTGTTATTGTTATTAATTTTTTAACAAAAAAAAAGAGTCAAGTGCACAAACAAAAATTTTTTTTAAAAATATTTTTGTTACATTAAACAGCAAAGTGATCAGTAAAATGATTTTACATTAAAAAACGAAAAAGAAACACAATTTAACACAGCATTCCACAAGTTTAAAAAAGCACACACACACACACACAACAAAAAAAGACACAAATTGTACAATGAAACATTTAATTAGTTTAGATTTAGGTATAAATGAGATATTATATATATATTCAAATATATATATAATATATATATCATAGGGCTTAAGGCAAACGCGGTGCGAGCAGTCAACTCAGTGGATAGTCTTTTTATACTAAATAAAGCTTTTCGAACTCAGAGCATATTAAGTTATTAGTTAAACGAAACGATAAATATTAAAATAAAAAAAAAAATAAATAAATAAATACAACTTTTAGAGCTATAGAGCAGTAGATATTCACAAAACTAAGTAAAGAAAAAACATTTCAGTGCCAAAACAAACTAAAAAGAAGATACCTATACAATTATACCAGGATTTCCTATTCAGGGTATAATAAAAACAGCAGTTACAGTTACCATTACAGTTCATAAAAGATAAACAACAACAAGATACCTCAGAGAAAACAAAAATATATTAGTCTAAAGGCTTTAAAAACTATGCTCAAAAATTGATTTAGGTTTTTCATTTTTTTATAATATTTTTTTAATGGTTTAGTCAAGCAAAATGAAAAGAAGTTTAAAAAGTGCCTTTTGAAATGGAAAATTTAATTCAAAAATTTAATTTGACAAAAATTAATAAACACAAAAAAAAAAAAACACTTAAAAGCCATATCAGTTAGTTGTAAGCCAAGTCAGCAAACGAAAGTGTCAAGAATATTATTTCTATTATTATTATGATTATTATTATTACAATAATTAGTATGATTAATGGAACGAGTAAATATTTTATTTTATTTTTTTTTGCAAGACAAATATGATACACAGTTAAACTCAGGTACTTAGTTTTGTGTTTCACATTTAGGCAGGAAACCAAGTAAGAGAGAGAGTAACAGGCGAACGTAGCTGAGCTACGTTGACAATTGAAGCATTATTAAATGAAAGAATAAAAGTAAAAATTGATAAAAATACAACAAACAAGCAAACAAAAACACCGCCACAATACGTCACATGCACTTATTTATTTTTAATATTTATAAAAGGAAGTATATAATTTAATATATATATATCGATATATATGAAACTATAATATTTTTTATTATTTTTATGTTCTTTTTGCTAGTAAAGCGTAATTTATTTTATACAACTTTATATACTATTTTTTTTATAAACAACAACAAATACATTCCATAGATGATTTTATAAACAGTTAAGTTAAAAAAAAAAAACATAAAACATTAACTACAAACATTCACAGCGCAACAGCGATAAAAACACGTTGCCAGTCAAACTGTGCACTTGAAATACTAAATTACAACTAATTAAAATACATTTACAACAAGAAGACAAATCTCGAATTATAATATAACTTTCTAATTTTCTGCTAAGAAATTAAAACAAAAAATCGATTGGTTATATTCAAGCGGTGTTGGGGCTAAGTTTAGCGCTTCTTTATTAAATGAAGAATTGAAATTTAAGCAATAATTAAAAAAGCGATAAAATAAAACGCCTCTAAAGGCAAAGAGAAAATTCGAAATTTTCTAAAAAAAAAAAAAAAAATAAAATATGCTACATATATAAAAAGAATATATTGTTGAACAATTTTTGGTTACAAACTGGCACACAAAAAATGTCGATACACATTATAAAGAAAAATTAATTAATTAAAATTAAAAGTTTTATGTTTATGATGCAAACACTTAAAAAGAACACAAATACTCATTACAAATTAATGCAAAGTATAGTAACAGTTCTATATAGTTAAAACTATATATATATCTAAATATATATAATTAATATACCTATTATATGACATTATATTTAATTTTTTTCTATGCGTCGCTTGTAAACATTTTTGTAAATTGATATATACATAATTATATATTACTATTATAAAAAAAAAAAAATTAAACGAAATACAATCAATGTGAGAAATATACAAATTCATGTAATAAAACGCAAAAAGACAGAAACTTGTTTGTTATTGTGCGTTTAGAATAGTCATTATTATTAATATTATCATTCTTATTATTATTATGAATATTCTTATTTTATTTGATTTTCTTATGCAGCCCTTAGTTTATGTAGCGTACTGCTTGTAAGTATATTTATTTATTTTATTATTTCATATCATTGAAAAAAGAAAATTTTATATTTTTTAAAAAACTAATTTTGCAAGTGCAAATGAAATGAAATTCACTACAATAATAATAAATAATGAATAATGAATAGGACACACATTTTAGGCACATTGAATAAGAAATAACGAAATTGTCGAAACACTCATTTCTAGGCCACATCTGATGCTGTACATTTTTTGTTGTAATTCATTCACTAATATGTGTGTATTTTGTAAAATTTTTCAGATGACAACGGGCAGCAGGAGTCGGGAGAATCACGTATACGCGTACGCAATTGGCTCATGCTGGCAGATCAGTCGATGATTGGAAAGAACGACGAGACAGGTATTTAGACAGTTTTTCCATATTGTATATTATTTATTTTTATGTATCATATTATTTTATTTATTTATATTCATATATTATTTATTGAATTTTATTCATTTATAAGTTTTGTAAAGCCTGACAGAGTTTTGTAATTAATGTAAGATTTCTTAATCTGCTCTATTGTGCCTATGTCTGTCTGCTTCTATTCAAAATTGAATTTCTCGTTATTTTCTCTGCTTCAAATGGAGATGAAATTGAATAACATGAACTAATTTGTACAATAAATAATAAAAAACATTTTTATAATATAATAAACAAATAAAATAAAAATAAAAAATAATAATAGTAATAATAAGGAAATAAATGAATGAAAATAATAACAATTATACAAATTTAAGTAAAAGCAATAAATAATGCCAGCAGCATTTCCGATTTATAACTCTGTCAGGCTATTTAATGCCTCGGCTAGCCGTAGTGTCATCAACATCCAGTTATTATTATTGCTGTGAAACTCGTTTATTTTTGTTGTTGAATAATGTTTCGTTTTCTTTTTACAGTCTTAATTTTGCAATACAATTTACATTTTGTTTTGTAAGGGCCCTGTGCACCCTGCGGCAAATACTCATATCATTTCATATATTCACATTTTTCTTTTGTTTTCTTACTTGAAGCAAATATTTCTCACTAAAAATAACTGACCTCTAACATTTCCTTAATACAATTTCTATTTTCATGCGGCAAATTAAAAAAAAAAAATCCAAAAAAAATTCAAAATGATCCCACATCATTGCTAACACCAACTAACTAACTAAAACCGAAAAAAAAGATAAACTAACTCCGAGCAAAAAGCCAAACATAAACGCAGCTAAAAACACTAACAATGCCTGCACCAAGGCCCCAACGACACCCGCAACAATCAGCACAACGCCGTCCGCGACGACGAGAACGCTCAACAACATCACCAACAGCAGCAGCAGCAGCAACAACAACAGCAGCAGCATTATCAACAACAACAATGTTGTCGGCGATAAAATCAGCGGCGGCGGCAGCAGCAGCTGTTTGCCCGTTCTGGATCCCAAGACGCAAACGGTGACACGCATTGGAAGTATTGGACGCACAACGATTGCGTGCATCACGCCGGCATCCAGCTTGAAGAACAGCTCAAACAATTGCAATGTGGATGCCGCCTCGGCTGCGGCGCTGGCCGCTGCAGGCGTGGAGCTGGATAGCATTGATGATACGATGACCGAGGTGATAGTGAAGATTGAGAATCCGGAGAATGTGTCGCTCAACGGCGACGAGGCTGTGTGCAATGAGGCTATCGATGATGAGAATACCTTCGACTATGATCTAAAGCTGGCCAGTCCCTTGTCCTGGACCTACGATGCGGTCAAGATTGAGAACGAAGAGTTTGAGGATAGCTATCTGATGGATAACGATGACGATGATGACGATCTGTTGACTACGGCCGCTGCCTCACAGAAGCATGCCAAGCAATCGAACGAGAAGCAACAGAGAAGCATTAACAGTAGCAGCAACAACAACAACAACAACAACGGCAGCAACAGCAATAAAATCGTGCTGAGCACACAGCAGCAGCAACAACTGTTGCTGGAGCAGCAGCAACACTTGCAGCATCTACAGCTGCAACCCACCAGCCAGTCGCTGCAAATCAAGCTGCCCACCATACCGGCGACCATAACCACCATTGCGGCCGCAGCACCACAGCAGAAGCAGCCCGTTGCCAGCACGAGCAACAGCGGCAACATAACCAGCGCCAATTCCACGTTGCTATCCAGCAAGCTGGGCCTCAGCATGGATCCACAGAACTTGAATCTGCACTGGTCGCACACGGACGACAATCGGTATCGCATTCTGGTGCAGAACAAGCGCATGCGTAAGGAGTCGCTGGAGCATTCGGCCGATATGATCTACAATGCGGACATTGAGAAGCCGTGGGTGTGCCGCAACTGCAATCGCACCTACAAGTGGAAGAACAGCCTCAAGTGTCATCTGAAGAACGAGTGCGGCTTGCCGCCGCGCTACTTCTGCAGCAAGATGTGCGGCTATGCGACGAATGTGCACAGCAATCTGAAGAGGCATTTGAATACCAAGTGTCGGGATCGTGAGAAGGACGAGGAGGAGAAAGAGAAGGAGAAGGATAAGGATAGGAAGCTGGCGCCCGTGAATGTCAACCTGGGCAACAATAGCAACAGCAACAGTGCTCTGGCGGGCAATGGCAGCAGCAACAACGCCAGCGCCAACACCAACGCCAACAACAACAACAGCAGCAACAGCAACAGCAGCACCTACACGCTGGTCTTTCAGAACGAATAGAAGCTCGAGGCATATGGAGATGTTGTACAAATAAGCTACGGGTAGCTAGCAGCTGGAAAATGGCTACAGCAGTGGCATGCAACATGCCGCATGCCACACGCAACATGCAACAAGACAAACTTCACTTAGTACGAATTAAGTTTTTGTTTTTACATTTTTAATAAGAATTTTGTGTGCAATCTTTGTTGCTGTCATTCCCAACAAAAAAAGAAGAGAAAACACTTGGGCATTTCCCATTCGCTTTTTGTTAAAATATATTCAAATATATTTTAACATATCTTAAGTACCATGTTGCATGCCACGTATGCCTGCCAGTTGCAAAAGTGCCCCTCAAAAAAAAAAAAAAAATAAAAAAAATAAATAAAAAAAAAAATCAGAAAAAATAACAAAAAATGGACAAAAATTAGTTTTAGTTGGCAATACAAAAGACGAAATTTTTGTATTGTTTTAGCGAATTCTCAAAAAGAAAGAAAAGAAAGACGAAACGCAAATATATAAAGTGTAAATTTTTTCCGAGAAAAATCTCACACATGACGCAAGAAATTATATAACTAGTCACAGCAAAAATTGTTTAAACAAAAATCGAACAAAACTTATACCAAAAATAATTTTTGTATTAATTATTAATTTTAAAGTGAATAAATCTAAACCAAAAAATTCTTATGCATGGCATGAACACGCGCCCCTAACTAAAAAAAATATAAATAAAAATAATAATTAAAAAAAAAAAAACAAAAAAAAGAAAAATATGAAAAATATATAACACTTATACACACATTTACACAAAAACACTCACATATACTACATGTATGTACATCAACAAAATTGAGAAATTTGGAAAGTTTTAATTTTTATTTTAGTTGCAATCGAATTTTTCTCATGTATTCATTCATTGATTAGAAACATTTTTCGAACTACATTCCAATCTTCGGGCATTACCTATGTTAGAATTGCTTTAAATATATATACATACATATATATATACGCATATATGATAATGAGAACAATTTCTAGTCAAAAACCAAACAAAACAAAAAGACATGAATATCTATATTATAATAATAATACGAAACTATGTATTAATATAATAAATATCTATAAAAATAATTTGAAAATTAGACAAAAATTATTATGATTAATTCTAAAATAATGTTTTAATTTTTAATTATTAAAAATATCAGCAAATGCTTTTCTATAAATTGTCAAAAAATTACAAAATACACAAAATTGTTAGACTTAAAATAAAAATAAAAAAATAAAAAAAATCCCGGCCATATGAAAATGTAACACATACACACAAACATACATTCACACTCACATATGTAAAAAAAAAGAACAAAATTTAAAATGCCTACAAAAAATCAGAAAATATATAAAATAATACATTTAAGATCCTACACACTCACACACACATGCAAATTGCAAAGTAAAAATTCTACAATTATTATGTATTCCTTATGAAATGAATATATCGTAATTATTGCCGGCTATATGTATTAAATAAAAACAAAATTCGAAATACAATTAAAAGCAAATGTCAAAACAAAAAAATAACCAAAAAACCAATGTTGTATTTATTTTAATTGTAAAAAATCTGCAAACCAAAAAATCCTCCTACAATCTTTTTTCTCTCCCAGTCATCAAAAAACTCATCCGCCATGAATCCAATCGATATATCTATATACTGTATATGCTCATATACAATTCATGCTTCCCAAATATCTACCCCACAAAACTTATCCAGCCAATTCCCAAGATGATCGTCCAAATATATATATTTATACATATATATAAAACTATATTAGCTAAGAATCAATACTAATCAGCTCTCTATTTCAGGTGGATGTTGTCCGAATCGATGAGAGAGAGAGAGAGAGAGAAAGAGAAAGAGAGAGCGAGAGTTTATAGATCTCTGTGCTGGCACAACAAATCCATACAAGAATGCAGTTTATGGTGTAGCCCTATCTCTAATTGTTGTTTGCATGCTCTCTTAACCTACTATACTACAACTCTACATAACTAGACAACAGTGTAATTGCTGCTTAGATATCCTCTATATACATATACTATATACTATATATACCTATTAAATCAACTATTAGTTACGTATGTGTATGTACATGTTTTATTAAGACAAGGCGAACCCAATGGAACGCCCTATATTGATGATGCTGTTTAATAACTAGTACATGAACATATCTTAAATTATACATCTATCTATATAACTCTCAACTTTGTATGAAAACCTCTTTTTACTAGACAATTTGTAGATTTGTTTTTCCAATTTTTTCTTGAAATTCTTTTCTGTTACTTTTAAGTTGAACTCTTTGCGCTCATTCTAGTCTATATCTATACAAATATATCTATCTATTTTTTAATATAAATAGCATTTAATTATTTATACCATTATTATCAAAAATATGAAAAGTGATGAAATCAATTTAGTTTGTAAAAACAAAGTCTAAAAATGTTTTTATAAATATTTAATTTTCTATTAGATTTTAGATTTGTAGTAAATGTAATTTAAAAAAAAAAAATGAACAATTCGTAAACTTATGCATGCGTATTTTTTATATATATAAAAATCAATGTCTAGGATCCAGCTGGCTCTATATAGTTGTATATAGGGCGCAGCTCGTATGGATTTATAAGTTCTCTTCTAAGTGTCGAAGCGTTGCGTCCCTTCTTCAGTACACAAACATTTTATACAATTAGTAAAAAAAAATATGTGTTTTATCTATTATAATATTTAATAATAATAATTTTTTATATATACATATATTTGTGACTAACAGAAAAGCCAAGCAACAAAATTACTATTTAAATTCATTTGTAACTTTTTTTTTTTTTGCTTAGCCCAATTTGTATTTAATGTAACTTACACTCGATTTAATGTTGTTTACACACACACAAACACACACACATTTTATACTTATAATCATTGTGTTCATTGAAATTTTGTTAATTTTTATAATATTTATTTTTCTGAAAATTGTTTAAGCAGCGTTTCACACAATTGATAAACATATTTATATCGTATACATCTCAACATTTTACTCTAGATACAAGCAGCGCCTACACTCACGCACACAAACACACACCACACACACCATACACTCTACACACATACACATACACATACACCTATTACCATGCACCAAACCACCAAAAAAAAACAAAAAAAAAATCACTCAAAAAGTAAAATGAAACGCAACATTTTTAACGACTTCTCACGGTAATAAATTCAATTTTAATATTTTTTATAAATATATATATATATATAACTATCAACTATATTCTTTTGGTTCGATTACGTTTCCAATTAGATCTTAGGACTTTTAATTTGTTTATCTCTGATAAAAAAAAAAAAAGAATTGAAAAAGTAAACAGTAAATACTATGAGCAGCGTTTTGTTTGAAGTGAAACACTTGATTAACATTGCATCTATATTTTGACTCTTCTTGTCTTCCTCGTCTGCAGAATTTGCGCATTGCGGCCAGGGAGCCAGGGTGAGCAGCCCGCATCCATATTATTTGAATATGAAGAGCAGTCCCTGCACCAGTCCCATGGCCTCGCCCAGGCCAATTATCAAATCCGAACATGGTCTAATGGATGACAACGAGCACGAGTTGCGCATTGACAGTGGACCGGGCACGCCCACTCGGCATGGACGGCATGGCAATAATAGGGATAACGATGACAGCAATAATAACTACGAGGATGATGAGGACAATCGCGACGATAGCGGCGATAAGCCCTTTGATCTGCGCATGGGCATTGCCAAGGTGCTAGTAGCTGCTGCGCAGGCGCATAGCGGCCTTCACCATCACCATCACCACCAACATCAACAGCAGCAGCAACAACAACAACAGCAACAGCACACACATCCGCTGGCCCAGCTAATCCATCAGTCCAGTTCCGACGTGCCGCTGCGCCGCTACAGCAGCAGCAGCAGCGTCGGCATTGCGCCCACCGTTCTGCCCAGCAACAGCAGCAGCAGCTTGGTGGACTCCAAGGCGGTGATGGCGGCTGCCGTTGCTGCTGTGGCTGCCAACAATACAAGTGCCTCGACGAGCGTCGGTGCCTCGACATCGGCTGCGGCGGCAGCAGCGGCTGCTGCAGCTGCAGCTGCCGGACTCGTCCCATCCAATGCTGCCGCAGCAATTGGCGGCGCTGGCGTGCCACCGGGTGGCGGTAGCTGGAGCGGTGTTAGCGGCAGCGGCAGTGGCGGTGCCGGTGGCAGTGCTGGCGGCGGCGCCTACGCCTGCGATCGATGCGGCAACACCTACGCCCGGCCGCACAGCCTCAATCGACATGTGCGCTTCGAGTGCGGCGTAGAGCCACAATTCGAATGCCCCATCTGTCACAAGAAGTCCAAGCACAAACACAATCTCGTGCTGCACATGCGCACGCACCAACATCGATGATACAATCGACAGCGATTGCAATGACGCCAGCAACTGGTTGCTGTTGCTGGCACTGCTGCCGCTGCCGCTGCTGCTGCTGCTGCTACTGTTGCTGCTACTGCTACTGCTACAGCTGCTGTTGCCACTAGTTAGTTAGCCATGTTTCACTGCAGTTCAGTTCAGTTCAGTTCAGTTCAGTCCAAAAACAACAACAACAACAAAGAGAAAACAAACCGAGACAGAAGAGTGCGCGTTGTTTTTTTTTTTTTTTCAAATGATCTTGAAAACATAGTCGTTTTTTTTATATATATATACATACATATATATATAAAAGATATATATAGATCTATACAATATGCATAAAAGCCGTCAATGTGAAAGAAATATTAACAAATTCTAATCCTTAGTTTCATATAAATGTATATCAAATCTTTTTCTTTGTTCTTAATAGTTTTTCTTTCGATATTCAATTTTCCATATAATATTCGATACATATACATGCGTGTATATATGTATATATGAGAAGAGGGCGGCGCGTGAGAGTGGGAATATTTTGTTATTGTTGTTGCTATTGTTAAAATGTGTGTAACATCCTTAGAAAACTCAATGATCTCAATGAATTTTTCTTTATTGTGGTGTAAAACAGAAACAAGGAAAAATTAATGCATTTGTGTAGAAAAAATGAAGGAAGTTGAAGGAGTAATCGAGGTGTGTAAGGCAAGTCCGAGTTAAAGAGAAACGCAGCAAAAAAACGCAAAACATTCACATTAATTTTAGCGTAATTTATTTATTATAAAACGAAAACAAGCAAAACAACAAAAACCAACAAAATATATGAAACTTGAGTGTGAATCGATCCAATTCGATCCAGTTTATATAGTTCAAGTCAAAGACACTCTCACGCGCTTGCTTTAATTAATATTCTCTTTTAAATATATTTCTACTATTTTTTTTTTTTTTTTTGGGCAATAGTTAAACTTAATAAACTTAAAATGGAAAAACCATATTTGCATATATCAAAAATATATCTATGTAAATAATGTAAAAACAATAATAACGATTACAATATAACAGCATATATTTGTATGTATGTATGTATTGAAATAGCAACAGTCAATCGCTTAGTCAGTCAAAACAAAAAACAAAAAAAAGAAATAATAATTTAGATACTAAGTTAGCATAAGCTTTAAGGCAACGATAAAGCGTAACTAAATCTAAATGGACATGTGCAATAAGCTAAAAACAACAACAAATCACAGACAGCAAACATAAACCACACTAAAAACAAAATACTAAAAAATCTTGTGCAATAAGCAAAACACGAAAATCCCAAAATCAAAACCAATGAAAAACTAAAACGAAAAAAAAAAAGAAAAATCACAGCGCACAACCAAGTTGTAAATGTTATTATATTGATTTTTTTTATATATATACACAAGTTTTATTTTTGTTTATTTTTCAAATTTATTCACATTACATTTGTTTGTTAGCTGCGCGCCATCAAAGCCACAAAAAAAAAGAAAAAAAAAAAAAAAAAAAAAAAAAAAAAAAAAAAACAATTATTGTTAGTGCAACGCAACGATCTCTAAAAAAAACTTTTCAAAAATACAAAAATAAATTTATTAGTTTATCTTGTGCTCATTCCATGAAAAAAAAAAAAACAAAACAAAATTCGTTTATTTTTTTAAATAATTATTTATTTATCGAACACAAAATGTGATAGGCGGCAATTTTTTAAGTTTGAACCAAAAAGTAACAAACAAAAAATGCTAAGCAAAATTATTAATAAAAATATAAAATAAAACAAAAATTTGGCCTGTGGCTGCAAATGGCGCGCGCAAACAATTAAACGAACTATTAAACAATATTATAAATATATATCTGCATAAATATGGCAAGCAACATGTACAAGTGTGAGCAAATCAATTGGCATTATAAAGTTAAAGTTAAAGTTAATGTTAGGGACAAAACTCGCATCGAGTCACAGTCAAGAGACGAGAATAGGTCAAAGATGAAGCAGAAGCAGGCGGATGAAGAGAAGGAGGAGGAGGAGGAGGAGGAGAAGAAGGTTGGAAACGAAGTCAAGAAGAGTCAAGTAAATGAGAAATAATTGGTATGTGATATAAT